AAAGTTCACTAACCACTATTATCGGTTTGCCCATGTAAGCTACTTCATTGCAACTACCCATTCCTCCGTGGGTGAGAAAGGCGGACAAACGTTCGCTTTCTACAAATTGTGAACTGGATCTCAATTAAAAAATTGATTATCTTACCTAAAAGTGGGATTTGTGGCACCCAAGCGCTAAGAAAAACATTAGAGAGATTGACAATTGTAGAGTTCACTTCTTCGTACTTCCAAATGAAGCCCACATCTGGCATAGAAGCGAAGACACTGATGAGCGTCTTTCTACAAATGTTTTAAATCAATTATTACATGTAAACAAATGGTCTGTTTTCCAAATAAGTTTGATAAACAAAATATCTACTTTTTCTGAGTGCAAAATGAGGTGAAGACTTTGAAAAGAAGTCAGACAATCACCGGCGAGATTTATTTTGTACACATGCTGAATTGTCTTTATTTGCAAACATTTCAATCTTACTTGAAGTTCTCCGGCATTTCGGCGGACTTTGCAACCGATCCAAACGATACTAATATAGTATGGCGATAGGCGTTCAGGAATGATGTCCATTCCTTGAGTTGATTTGAACAATTACATATGAAATATGTCTTTGGTTGGGTCATGGTCTTACCTATATTATCTCAAAAAAGGATAGCGACAACCTGCAGCATTTAGGAATAAGTAGGAGGCGTAATTTAGCTTTCTTAATTTACATCAATAGCCTTTATTTTGTAAGTAGATGTTTGTTTCTTAATTAAAATCTAATTTTGAACATTTTTGAACTATATCATTAGTATATTCTGTTAGCATGTAAGTGGATTACGAAGAAAGCAAGTTTAAACCTCAGATAACGCGTGGCTCTTCTTCAACTTCCTGCTCACAGCAAATCCACCGACCATCACAGTTTTATGCAATGTAGGACGTGGGAAATCTAGATAAGGGTTCCCATTGGTGAAAACGTATGACGTCTGGGCGATTAGTTCCTAAAGTGTGGCCTTATAATTTATTTCTGAGAGAGTAATTAAGAGAATAAAGCAGAGTGGTTTCTTGTAATAATTGAATTTTTTGAAAAAAAATGATGAAACTGTTCCGAAATTATAGTAAAATGAAATGTATTAGTCGTGTAAGTAGAATACAGTCACAACTTACAGTATGGGTCTTGAAAGTACCGTACTTATGCCTCAACATTGCCATCTCGTTATCATTCATGTAATTCGCTACTGCTCTGCCAATTATTAAAGCGACAATGTTTTGCAGCCTTTGCGTGAAGCTCATTCTGTCACCGGTGGTGCTCATAAGACCTGGAAAAACTGTTTATACTTGTGTAAAAACTGCAACAATACAATGATTAGAAAAAGTCTAGAGATAAAATAGAGAGCGTCTCATGGAATATCATCAAGCTGATCTTTCGTAGTGCTTTTTCAAAATCTTTTCAGGTCTTGCTAGTACGGATTGGAGGCATCTCAAATATGCTCTATGCATCTACTACCTTTCTTACGGTATTACGTACAAGTTTGTAGGTGGCTTAAACGTTAGTATAGCACTGTTGAGAATAGCCTAACGATAGTACTGCAAAGGGTTAGGAACATTTCTGATAAATTCACTAATCATACAAGTTTTTACAATAC